GAAGGCATCTGTGAATACACTGATGGGCGCCTCAAGGCAGACAAACAAAAACAGAAAAATAAACAAAAAAAAAAAAATAAATAAAATAAATAAAAATAAATAAATAAATAAAATAAATAAATAAAATAAATAAATAAATAAATAAAATAAATAAATAAATAAATATATAAAATAAATAAAAAAAAGAAACGAATGCAGTTGCTGTGTATTCCTTACATCAACAAATGTATCTGCTGCTGCTTTTGCTTCTGCTAGCTGCTGCACTTCTGCTGCTGCTTGCTGCAGCTGCTGCTGCAGCCCCAGCAGCAGCAGCCTGCTGTTGTGCTCGAAGGCTTCTATAGCACAGAAGAGCTCTGCTTTTACTTCATCAGTATTTGCTGCTGCTGCTGCTGCTGCTGCTGCTGCTGCTGCTGTTGGTGCTGCTGCTGTTGGTGCTGCTGCTGCTGCAGCAGAAGCAGCAACAGAGTCCGTAGCCAGCCGCCTCTCCTTCTCTGCTTCAGCCTCTGCAAGAGCTGCTGCTGCTGCTGCTGCTGCTCCAGCTGCAGCAGCAGCAGCAGCAGCAGCAGCAGCAGGACGACTCTCAAGCAGTGTTGGTGTATCTGCTGCTGCTGCTGCTGCTGCTGCATCCTGAATAAACTCTGGCAGAGGAAAGCCGCCGGCCTGCTCCTTTGCTGCTGCTGCTGCTGCTGCTGCTGCTGCTGCTGATGCTGCTGCTGCTGATGCATGCAGGCCCCCACATTCAGCACCTGAGGCAGCAGCAGCTGGCAGCAGCAGCTGCTGCTCCCCGATTGGTGAGCTCAGCAGAAGATGCAGCAGCTGCTGCTGCTCCTCCAGCGTGCTGCTGCTGCTGCTGCTGTTGCTGCTGCTGCTGCATTCTGCTGCTGCTGATGGTTCTGCTGCTGTTACTGCAGCAGCAGAAGCAGCAGCTGGTGCTGCTGCTGCTGCTAATGGTTGTGCTGCAGCAGCAGCTGCTGCTGCAGCACAATCCCCTAAAACAGATGACGCTGTAGAATGCCCGGATCCATTAGTATCTGCTGCTGCTGCTGCTGCTGCTGCTGCTGGCTCTGCTGCTGCTGCTGCTGCTGCTGCTGGTGCTGCTGGTGCTGTGAGGGGCTTTTCTACTGAATTTGGTGTATCTGCTGCTGCAGGTAGCGGCCCTGGCGTTTCTGCTGCAGCTGCTGCAGCAGCTGCAGCAGCTGCAGCAGCTGCTGTTGGTGGTTCTGTTGCTAGTTCTGCTGCTGCTGCATCTGCTGCTGCTGCATCTGCTGCTGCAGCTAAAGTAGCAGGAGAGGCTGGCTCTGCTGCAGCAGGAGTTTCTGTGCATCTCCCGTTGCTGCTGCAGTTAGACTCGATATCTGCTGCTGCTGCATCTGCTGCTGCTGCTGCTGCATCTGCTGCTGCTGTATCTGCTGCTGCTGCATCTGCTGCTGCTGCTACTGCTGCTGCATCTGCTGCTGCTGCTGCTGCTGCTGCAGCGTGTAGACTGTCCATATCGTCTGCTGGGGTGTACAGACACCTCAGCTCAGCAGCAGCTGAGGGCCCCTCGCTTTAAGCAGCAGATCGACGGTTTGGGGTGTACGTACACCGCAATGTATACGCTGGTGATGCTGCAGCAGAAGAAATAAATAAAAAAATTAAAAAAAACATTTGGCCATCAGCAGCGATAAATAAAACATAAATAAAAAGGCTTAACCGAAGAAAGAAAAAAAAATGATGGTAACAGGGGCTGTTGCTGCTGCTGCTGCTGCTGCTGCTGCTGCTGCTGCTGCTGCTGCTGCTGCTGCTGTGCTGTATATACAGCTGAGGCGGCGATGAGGTTGCAGCAGCAGAAGAAAAAAGGAAATTGGAATTATATTAAGAAAAGAAAAGCCCAAGAAAAATTAGAAAGTATAGCGATGGAGATATATAAAGAGAAGAAAAAAACAAAACCAGTATATATATACATCAGCAGCAGCAGCAGAAACCCAGCTCTTTATGGATGGGTTTCGGGTTTATTGAAGGTAAATAAAGCAAAATAAAAGAAAAAAAAGAAAAATAAATGATATTTTATTTCTTTTTCTTTTATTTATTTTAATTTTTGTTTGCTTTTCTCTCTATTCTGCTTCCTCGTGTTTCTGCATGTGAGCTGCCTGTACACCCGAAACCGCCGCATGTTGTATAAGGGGGCTGTAGCCTGTTTATATGTGAAAAAAAACGAATTTTATTTATTTTTTTTGTGTAATTTATTGAAAATTAAATATATTTTTATTTATATTTATTAAAAAGAAATTAAATTTTAAAATACACCGTAAATACACCCTGCTTTCCTCCTTGTTGCTGCTTCGGTTGGTGTGCATACTGGGTGGCTGCCGCACGCCGCATGCATATTCTTTCTCTTTTTTTCTCTTTTTTTATTATCTTTATTTGTTTATTTATTTAAAATGTTTTTCTTTTTCTACTTTACAAATTAAATACACCTCAATTTCCCCTTTTCTGGGGTGTATACACACCCCCACCGCCTGCAACCGGAGCAGCAGCAACACGCTGCATGCACTCAAAGAAAACTAAAAAAAAAGAAAATAATTATTTTTTATATTCTTTGCGGTGTATATACACCTTTATATTTCTTTTTTATTTCTTTTTGTTGCTTGTCTTCTTATTATTCTCGTTGATATATACACGCCAGCTCCTCTATACTAAACCCTAAACCCTAAACCCTAAACCCTAAACCCTAAACCCTCGTTTTTCTTAGCAAGAAAATGGACATCAGCAGTGACAGCAGCAGCAACAGCAGCAGCAACAACAACAGCAGCAGCAGCAGCAACAGCAGCAGCAGCAGCAGCAGCAGCAGCAGCAGCAGCAGCAACGATAAAGTAGAAGTGGCAGCCTTCTTGCAGCTGCTGCTGCAGCGACGGGTTCGTTGAGCTGCTGTGCGTTTGGGGTGTACATGCACCTCCTCTTTCTCTGTATATTAAATATATATATATATATATATATATATATATACATATATATATATATATA